GAGTATCTCAGGGTGGCGGGGGCTTGTAGTACTGAAGCTGAGCTGATGCTGGACTCACAAACCTGGGTTAGAGTTCCAGCTCTAACACTCGCTAGTTTATGGCCTAAGGGTTCCTTAACCTTTGTGAGCCTCCATTTACCACATGTAAAATGGGGATGATAACATTTACCTGCTAGGGTTATTCTTTGTAAGGATTATTATAAAGCACCTGGCATACCTTCTATCCCAAGATGAGCATTCAGTAAACATTAACTATTACAGTTACGAGCCTGGAACACAATCTGGGGGCTATTATTGTTGTTAGCTGCTGTGGAGTGGGGCGCCATACACAACAGGATCAGACCATTGTGATCCATAGGGTTTTCATTGACTGATTTTTGGGAAGGAGATCGCCAGGCCTTGCTAGGCTGTCTTAGTCTGTAAGCTCTGCTGAAATCTGTTCATAGCAACACGCACGCCTCCATTGACAGACAGGTGGTGGCTGCACTTGAGGTGCATTGGCTGGGAATTGAACCCGGTTCTTCCTCATGGAAAGTGAGAATTCTACCCCTGCCCCAGGGAACTATTATACAGACATTGAATACGATCCCATTGAGTTGGCTATTTATCAAGGAATCCATATCCTTCCATTCCTCAATTGTGCTCTATGTCAAGGACACCAAGGGGGAGAGGGGATATATTTTCATTCTCATTCCACTCTGGGCAATGAGCTTCAGTTATCATCTTTAACCCCTGCCCACGGTCTCCTCCAGACTCTGGGTGGTCTTGCCTCCCTCGAATGTCCTAGGGTGCACACTCTACCAGCTCCCTGTTTGCATGGAGAGACTCTGCTTTCCCTAATTCTGACACCTGCCCTGTCTCACTAAAGGAAGATGTCCACCCTCTGCAGGGATACTGTCGCAGGCCTTGGAGGAATTGGTGAGGGTCCCGTCCCCAAGCCTCTCGTGAACGAGCTCTATATCAATCCTTTACATTCACGCACATTCTCTCATTCACTCTTGACTTACCCTGGGAGGTAGGCAAGGCAGGTATCATGTCACCCACGGCCACCACTGGAGTCGAGGAGCCAGACTTGGGCCCAGCTCTCTCACACCCAGTCCAGGGTCCCTTCCTCCACACGGGTTTCATTTGCTTCCTCTTATCCAGAAGGATGGTGTCACATAGTTACCTTCCCCACACAAAAAGTGATCAGAGAGAACAAACCTGTGATATTGAAAGGAAATAAAAAGTTTGCAGCTGATGCCTATCACAAAGTTTATGTGGGTCTTTCATATACAAAGGTGACTTCCCACCAGCTGTGCAGGAGCCAGGTCTTATCTCCCCAGTAGGGGACAGATTTGCATGTTTAAGGCCTGTGGCCCAGATGCAGCCTGTGGCCATGGAACAAGACAGAGTTCCCTGACCTCTGCTGCCTCTAAAGGGCTGACCACCCAACGCCCCCTCACCACCCCACCCGACCACATAGGGAACCCGGTTGACTCATTTGTGGCCCTGAGGAAGTGAAGTCTGAGCAGGGAGTGCTCAAAGCGGAGCTCCACACACTGGCCACCTGGAAGCACCATAAAACCGAAAAAACCAAACCCATTGCCGTTGAGTTGATTCCGACTCATAGTGAGCCTATAGGACAGAGTAGAGCTTCCCCATAGGGTTTCCAAAGAGCTCCTGGTGGATTCGAACTGCCAACCTTTGGTTAGCAAGTAAGCTTTTAACCACTATGCCACCAGGGCTCCTGAGGCACCATGGGAAGGGCCGAAGGAAAGAAGAGAGGTGATGGTCCCCACGCCTCCATCCCCGCGGAGGCCGAGAGCCTCAGACATTCCCAGACACACTTCCTCCCTTTCCCCAGCCCCCGAATCTCGCCTTTCTTTGTACACCTCCGTCCCAGTGGAGGCCGAGAGCCTCAGACATTCCCAGACTCTCTTCCTCCCTTTCCTCAGCCCCCAAATCTCGCCTTTCTTTGTTTTTTTTTTTTATGACCTGGACTGCTAACCAAAAGGTCGGAGGTTCAAGTCCACCCAGAGGCACCTCAGAAGAAAGGCCTAGCCATCTACTTCCAAAAAATCAGTCAGTGAAGACCCTGTGGATCACAGTTGCACTCTGACACTCACGGGGCCGCCATGAGTTAGAATCATCTCAATGGCAACTGGTTTTTTACTTTTTTCAAGGGTGTAAGCCAGTTGTCTTGTAAGACACCTTGCAGCCTGGATCGGTCTGATTGTTTCGTCACGAGTGGACTCAGGGTAAACATTTTGGCAAGTGTTCTTCCCAACGCACCACATCTGGAGACTCAGAATGTCAGCTGGTTTCACCATGGGAGATGCGATGCTTGAACATTTGGAAAAGGTTGAGATCACCCTAAGTTTTGGCTAAGAATCAAAGAGAACAGAGACCAAAGCTGCTTGCCTGAGGCTTTCAGATGCTTCTCGGTATAGGAATTGTTTGACGTGGTCACAGGCTGGGGTTTCTGTTCTTTATTATCTATTCTCTATGGTCTGTGACCAGCTGGCTTTCTCCTTCTCAGGATTCCAGGTGGGATTTGCTCTTTTATTGTCAACACAGGCAGCCTCCCTTTCTCATGGAACCCTCTGTCGAGTACCATCTGCCCTTTATGTTCCTGGGTGAAATGGGCACATTTGCACACTGCACTTGTGCCTACTCTTTCTGGAGAGTCCCTCCCCCAGACAAATCTATAAATATTTGTAATACAATACAGAGACCTGGTGGCGCAGTGGTTAAGCACTTGGCTGCGCACCAGAAGGTCGGCAGTTCAAACCCGCCACCTGCTCTGCAGGGGAAAGATTTACAGCCTTGGAAACCCTATGAGGCAGTTCTACTCTGTCCTGGAAGGCAGTGGGTTTTTAATACCACCTACCTCTGATAGCTACCCACGTTCTCCACAAAGTATCTTTCTTTGAAGCCGTTTCCATTTATCTGATTATTTGGAAGAGAAAAATCTCAGTTGCACGCTAATCTGTGTATAACACCCATCTTAACACTTGCTAATAGCTCCTTTAGCAAAGGGGTTACATCCGGCCTCTGGCAGGAGCAGTGAGGGGGACTGCCTGGAGCAGCTCTAGCAAGAAGAGGCAACGCCTCTCTCCTGAATAATATTTCTAGTATTCAGGCCCCCCCGGGATATTAGAAATCGAGCATCCTTTGCTAAAAACAAAGCAAAACAAACACCTAACTCAGACCAGACTGACTTCTTAATATTCCCAAACTTTTTGAGTATGAGGAGACCTTTTTATGGTCAAAAATGTTGGTAGTCTGACCCTTCCCTGAGGTCTTTGTACTTTAATATTATATATGTTACATAATGACAGAAAGCTACTCAGAATTCAGGAACCCTTAAAAATCCATTAAAAAATAATTTATTAATACAGGAAAATCAACATAGTTTGAAAAAAGTAATATACGTATGTGCTTAAGCATCAGAGGGCCTGACAGAAATAGGGATGCCGCTGTATTCCTGAACTGTTTTGATTCTTGTAATGATAAACTAGAAATTTCAGGACTCCACGAGGCGGACACCAGTCAAAAAGTTTCACTTGCCCTTTATCTGCTGTACACTGCAAAGGCAAGTCTCACCCACGTGTTCCCTGTCCTGACGCTCTCTCTTGGCCTGCGTGTGGCCGTCTTCATGGACTGAGCAGTCCTGAGCCCAGAGCTGAAGCGGTCATGGAAGCGGATGAGGAAAGCCGTGCCCCAACTTCCAGCCACGCCTCTAGCAGAATCCGACGCACCGTTTCCCAAAGGGGTGAATGTCCCCATCCATTTCATTGTTTCATACAACCCATGGGGGCATCGGGTCTGGCTTCTTTGACCTTAAATTGGGTCAACGAAGCAAGATTGTCTCCCTATTTTAATGTTGAGGGAAACAGAAAAAGCAAACAAGCGTATTTTCTAAAACAAAGAGGAACTTTTGCAGCTCATATGCTTTCTTCCTGTTAGTGTTTTCTTGTTTCAGAATACAGCCTCGATTCATGGTGTTTTTATGAAATGAATCTGTTTTCACCACGTATTTATTCCAATCAGGTCTGGAGGGAGAAAAGCCACACGAAAAGCCATGCTGAGCTTCTGCCTCAACAGAACGCCAGCTCTTTTCCGACAAGGGACTGATGCGGGGTTAAATCATAGCTTTCCAGGATAACCAACTAGGATGCATAGCCTCCAGATTAATGGTTACATAGGGGATAACATTAAGCATTTGAGGTCCTAATACTTCAAGGACTTCTTAGAGAAGAATCAGCAAGGATGTCTGGTGCAGTGGTTAAGAGCGAACCAGAAGGTCAGCCATTTGAATCCACCAGCTGCTCCTTGGAAACCCTGTGGGGCGGTTCTACGCTGTCCTATAGGGTCAGAATCTCCTCGATGGCAATGGCTTTGGCTTTTTTTGGAGAAGATCAGGATAGTTAGAAGATAAAAAGGAGGTTAAATGCAACACTTAGAAGACTCCGCTTTAACATGAGGTAGGATTTATAATCTTAACTATTTCCATTTCACGCGTATGACACAGTACAGACTCTTGTCTCCTAATAGCACCTGGGTCAGCAGTGTCTTGTCCTCTAAAGATTTTCACCAATTAGAAGCTCACAGTCTCTGGCTTTGGCCATGATCCTGATAACCACCGCTGATTAAAAAATAGAGAGGGACCTTATAGAAATTGTTAACTGGATAAAAGAATATAGGGCTAATAGACTCCACAGTGAAGAGCATGGAACTTTCCAGACTGGAAAGAGACACTTTGATTTTGTTATCTGGTTTAAGAAGGACAGATACAAGGAGAATCTGTTAATGCCATCTGCTTCCCATGTCAGGATCTCAGGTTTTATATAGGGTGTCTCCCCAAGGGTCACCGACACCAGGAGACATAGTGCTTATTCAGACAGTACTTGGAATACAGGCTGATTTGCGGTTCCTTTGTGTTAACTCTGTGACTCCCTTAGTGGGTGACAGCCCATAAAAGGCGAACCATTGATCCAAGCCTTTTAATTATAGTGAGGAGAGGTTCCAGATTACCTCATTTAAGTTATTCATGCCATACTACCATCTGTGCCTTCCATCCTAATTGTTTTCCACTCTCTTCCATTTCTCCACCAAGAGTGTAATAACATGAGCAACATTTGACTTCAAAAAATATGTCTTTCAGAAGGTGAAAGAGAAGTAAAGTGCAACAGTTACTTATTTGCACACTCAAGCTTAGATAATACACTTTTACAGCTGGAGACACTGCTGGGTGGTCCTCACCCAACTGAGGTTGAGTGTGAGTGCTGGGGAAGCAGCCCTGTGCACACAGGCAAGGGTTTCTGGATTTCCCGGTGGAGCACGAGATCTAAATTGTTTCTCATGTACTCTCTGCACTGCCATGGCTCTGAGGGCACTTTCTTTAGCTACATACTCCAGGGAGACTGTTTCGCCACCAGAATGGTTATTTTGAAAGTCTTTTATTCATTTTCAGAGCCATTCCATATCTTTCTGTTCAGTACTGCCTTGAGGCCATTCTCACATCATTGTATCAGACAGGGTCCAACCAGGAAGAAGAGACCCCCAGAATATTTAAAACACAAGAAGTTGAATGCTGAAAACTGGCTACACATGATGGAAGAGGCTGAAAAGTCAACCAAAGAATAGACAGTCAACCCAAAGATTAGCAACTTCAGGAAGCTGCTACCTCTCCTGGGGGGAGTACGGGAAGAGGGGGAATAAGACAAGGAGCCTAGGGGTCGTGGTCAGCAGAAGCAGCTCAAGGAAGTCTCTGTCCAAGGCTGAGAGGGAGGAAGAGAAATACCCTGGCTTCTCTCCTCCTTCTGCCCTTGAATCTCCCACCAGTGTCTCCCATTGGCTCAACCAGCTGGAGACCAGATGACCCCTGGAGCCTGGGAAACAGAGCCTTCAGAAGTCAGTCCCCTGGGATACAGAGTAGAGCAGGGGAAGGGTGAGGTATGGATCTGAGGACAAACATCCCTCAACCCACATAGTAACCCGTTCCTGACCTTGTTCTGAATCAGCACTGCCTATAGTTGACTTTGGTGTGGTCATTGAATTTATTAATGTAGAATTTTGAATCCAACCTCCCTGTATGCTTTCTATATATTTAGTTGGTATAATGATATAGTCATCCTTCTAGCCAAATTATTTATTCCTTTATCTGCTTTCTGTAGCCATTGAATTACCTTGTAGATTATACACTGGTGTTTGGAACTCAGAACTAATAATTGCATTATAAAACTGCCTTCACAGTTGGTGAAGTGCTTTCACATGTATTATGCTATATGATCTGCCTAAAAACTCTGTGAATAGTTATTATTATTCCCATTTTGTGGAAGAATAATCTAAACCTCAGAGACTTTATGTGAACTGCTTAAGGACAAACAACAAATAGTGGAGCCAGAATTCAAACCCTGGACTGTGTGGTTCCAAATCCTGTAATCTTCCCGTAATACTCTGCTGCCTCATGGGAGAAGGAATTGCCCAAAGGGCGCTGTAAGAGGTTTTCTGGGTCAGCTGTCTGAGTTTAGGAGGAAAGTGAGGATGTGTTTTAAATCTGCAAAAATATGCTTGGTGATCAGAAATGAAAATTACACTCCCGGACGTACGTCACACCAGGCCAACCTCACATTCCACTCTGAAAAGATTACATTCTCTCTGAAGAAATTACACTCTTGCCCTGTACACATCTAGGGTATTTGAATATATGGGGCGGGCTGTCCTAGAAGGGCCAGTGTCACAGAAGCAGGCACCATCCCAAACCTGACAGAAGGGGTAAGGGCGGGAGGGAGGAGTGCGTGCCAGCTTTCCATCTCCCTGTCTTTCCCAGATAAACTACAAGACGCTCAGTGAATTTTGGGAGTTATTTGTTGTTAATCAGAAATTCAGATGTAACTGGCTGTCTTGTAATTCGCCAAATCGGGCAACCTTACCTCGAGGTGGGCAGTGATCCCATGGTTGTAACCATGGTGTGGGTGATGGGGAGGAGTGCTGGGAGAATTCTGAGCACAGGAGCCCATATGGCTCTGCTTGTGCCATTTGTGCCCCGTGCATGCCCATTCCTGCACAGGTGCAGAAATGGAAGGAAGATCTGGGAAGGTGATTCCCGGTGTCCGGCAAGTACCGATGAACCCTGCATTGGAGGCTTCCTCTGTGGTAAGGAGGGCTGGCCTGGCCTGAAGTGAGGGTTCAGGTTGATTTACCTGGTTTTACTTAGCTTTTCTATTAGACTGTTTTCACTGATGAGTATTCAAATCTGGCCAGGAAGTTAAGATTAGCCTTCTAAATGTGTAAACTTATTTGAAAAAGAGGAAAGAGGAAGGAGCCCAAGATAGCCCAGATGTGTCAGGCAGAAAGGTCCGCGCGTTGCAGCTCTGTGTGAATAGGTGAGGTGGTTCGGGTGAGCACTGGTGCTGCTGGCCCAGAAGACTGGAGAGCAGGCTCTGTGGCCCTTCCTGGGTGGATGTCAAAGAGAGGATGGGCAAGTGGAATGCAGGGCCTACGTGGTTTTTTTCTGATTCTGAGCAGATCGTGGAGGGGATGCCACTGAGCAGTGAACTCAACAGGAGGGTAGTCAATTCTCACCAACAGGGAGGGAGATTAATACAACTTCTCCTGGTAACTCATCCTGGAGCTTAGGGAGGGAGGCCTGGGGGCTGCTTCCACTAACCAGCTCCTGAACCTTGAAAAAAGCCATTTATCTTCTCTGAGCCTTTGTATAAAAATGTGATGTTGGAGACCTATTCCATTTCCCTTAGGGTTCCTCCCCGTTCTGAACGTCTCTTGGTGTATGTGTATCTTTAGGTCTTCTCATGATTCCTGCTCTGTGTTCACTGATCAGGCGAGAGGGCTAATGACCACACTTCATCAATCATCCTTATTATACCTGAAGATTGCTTGTTCAGTTTCCCTCACTTTTCCCCCCCTTTTCAGGCAAAATATCACCATCTTTTTTCAAAGGACTGTATTCAAATGAGTTCACCAATGAGATCTCCTCTTTTCTAAAAGTCTTATGTCAGCAAGACAATAAGTCCACTCGGCCAGAGGCAACAGTTAATATTTCGATCCCAGCCCACCATTCATTTATTCATGGATTCATTCATTTAACAAAAAGTTATTAAGCTCATGCTCTGCATCGGGCATGTTTGAGCTATTGGGAGGAAAGTTTCAGCAGAATTACAAAACACAGGAAACTCCAGGCGACTTGAGACGGGGTTACCCAAGTCCTTGGCTTCTTTCTTCTGTTGCTGGACTTCAGAGAGTTTCAGTGTTCAGCCACCCAGCCATCAAATGGTAGAGGCAAAACGAAAAGGAGTTTTGGTTGACAGTTTCAGTGAAAGGTTGAAAGTTTTGGCTAAACTGAGGTATTTGGATGATCTGTGGGTTTCCACCTGTAGGTGGCTGTGGAGGAGAGTGCAAAGTAGCCTTCGGTTGTCCTTATTTACTTCTTACTTGCTTCCTCTCTGCCCTCTGTCCACAGGGCCGCACTTGAGATGGAGCTGCTGCCCCTTTGGCTTTGCCTGGGTTTTCATGTCTTGACAGTGGAATGGAGGAACAGAAGTGTGATGGCCACAGCAGCTGCCCAAGGGGGCTGCAAGTCGGTGAGTTTTCCCTGGGAACCCTGAGTTACCTGTTACGCCTGTCCTGACAAGGCTTGTCGGTTCAGAAGGCTGATGGATTGTCACCGAAGGAGGGCAGGAAATGAGTCTGATTCACTCTGCGTCTGCCTAGCACAATGCCATGTGCAAGCTGCTCTTTCACCAAAGGTTTCAAAGATGATGCCTGGGAAAGGCCGGGTAGTGCCAGCCCCGCCTTATTCATACTGCTGAAAACAGGAAACTCCAGAGACAGGCCTAGGTCAGCCACCTAGAACAAGAACACCTTGTTAAAAATCTGGATGATAGAGCCTCACTAATGGTATCAGAATCTCTAGGCGAGGCACACTAACGCTGGAGGAGCCCTGCCTCAGACTTTGTGTATGAGCCAACAGTCAGTGTTCAAACAGCTGGACTGGAGAGCACGCAGCCCACTCCGTGCTCAGAGCAGCATGCTTGACCACGCTTGGGCTTACGGAGATCCAGGGAGTAGTGCCTGAGCTTGTAAGGTTGCTTTCAGCCTGTTTGGAAACAGACTTGGGTCCCAACAACTGACCATATTTCTAGAAACTTCTTTTGCTTTCTCCCTAACTCAGTGAGATCAACAGTCTGCTTGAGAAGCATACATGTAATAGACATTCCTTAAGCCCTATTACATACTAGGCATGGGGAAGACAAATTGGATGTCAGAGCTAATACATTCAAGAATGTGTTCTTAAAGCTGACGAATCTTTAAAAACCAGCTGTCATAGTTCTTAACCACTTGTAGTAACGGCTAACCACTACACTCTACACAGTAGACTCTTGTATTGTAGAGGGGTTACGAGTATGGTGTGGGGGTTATGAGCATGGACTCTGAAGCCAGACTGGCCGGGTTTAAATCCCAGCTCTACCATTTACTAGCTGCTGACATTGAAGGTAGGGGGTAGCACTCTGTGCCTCAGTTTCCTCATCTGTAAAGTATGGCATTAATAATAGTACCAAAAAAAACCAAACCCGATGTTGCCGAGTTGATTCCAACTCATAGCGACCCTATAGGACAGAGTAGAACTGCCCCATATGGTTTCCAGGGGGCAGCTGGTGGATTCCAATTGCCAACCTTTAGGTTAGCAGCCATAGCGTTTAACCACTGGGCCTCCAGGGCTCCCTGCTAATAATAGTACCTACGAATAATACCACAACAATGGGTTGTTATGATGATTAGATGAGTTAGAATATCTAAAGCACTCAGAAGAGTGCCTGGTATGTAGTGAGTGCTATTTGTCTTATTTGTTATTGTTGTTACTATTATTATTAGTCTCTGCTAAACAGACTTCCACCATTTCCTTACAGGGGCAATAGATTAACTTCATGTTAGCTTTTCAGGGTTACCAGGCACAGGAAGGGGAGGAAATAGTATGCATTCTTTGACAGTCTTTCAGGGTTCAGGCTCTCTGCCTGACCCTCTCCAGTCTGGTGGGCAGGACTAGGGACTCGGCTGCCAGGGAGCTTAAAGAGTGGGTTTCCTGTGGCTCTTCTGAATTGAGGAGTCCCTGGGTGGTGCAAACAGTTAAGTACTCGACTGCTAACTGAAAGGTTGGAGGTTCAAGTCCACCCAGAGGTGCCTCGGAAGAAATGCCTGGTGATCTGCTTCCAAAAAATTGGCCCCTGGAAACCCCATGGAACACAGTTCTACTCTGACACACATGGGGTTGCCATGAGTCGGAATCTACTCGATGGCAACTGGTTTGCTTTTCTTTTCTTTGGAATTGGGGGCTGAGAGTTCAAGAGTCCCCATATCCTATATTGCCCCTCACTGCATGAGCCATGCAACGTTCTAATAAAGTGGACATGGTAAGGCTGTTTGGACTCTGAAGGCCACATGGTGTTTTTGCAGCACCTCAGTGGGGCTGTCCGGATTTGTGGAGGCGTGACCCCATGACAGCAGCAGCTGTGGTGAAACAGGGTCCCACAGCTTTGGGAAGGCCCCTAACCACAGCATTCGCCAGAGAGCCCCTGTGGAGAAGGGAAACCAACACCTACTCAAATAAAGATATACATCTTGTTTCTGGATGGGGAGATTCAAGTTTGTAAAGAAGTCAGTTCTCTCCCAAATTAATTCATAATTGTAACACAATTCAACTAAAAATTCCAGAGAGTTTTTGGGGGGAGGAGTGTGTAAGAGCAACTTGACAAGTTCATTCTAATGTGCATCTGGAAATTAGAAACAACTCAAATGCTTAACAGCAGGGGATTAATTAGATCATGCTAATAATGACAGCTAACATTTATTAAGTGTTCATGTGCCAAGTTATAAGTGTTTTACATGAACAATCACATTGAATCTTAAAAAAAAAAAAAAAAAACCCTATGAGAAAATTACAAGTATAATTTCCATTTGACAGATGGAATAATGGAGGACCTGCGTGGTCGTGGTAACAGCCCAAGGTCACCCATTTGATAAAAAGCTGGACCCCAGCGTGTCTGACCCTAGAACTTTGTTTTTAGCCACAGTACTATTCATGCAATGAACTAACAGACAGCTACTAGAAAGAATATCAGGAACCCTGGTAGTGCAATGGTTAAGCGCTCGGCTGCTAATCATGGGAGAAAAGACCTGATGATCTGGTCCCGTAAAGATTACAGCCTTGGAAATCCTATGGGGCAACTCTGTTCTATAGGGTGGCTATGAGTCACACAACAACGACAAAAAGAATATGATCGAATATATTTGTATTGCGAAGGCAACATGTCTAGCCTATGTTGTTGACCAAAAAAAATAGACTACCGAACAGTTTGGACATGTTATCAGGAGGGACCAGTCCCTAGAGAAGGACATCATGCTTGGTAAAGTAGAGGGTCAGCAAAAAAGAGGAAGACCCTCAATGAGATGGATTGACACAGTGGCTGCAACAATGGGCTCAAGCATAACGATTGTGAGTCTGGCGCAGGACTGTGCAGTGTTTCGCATTTTGTGGTACATGGGGTCGCTATGAGTCGGAGCCCTCTTGACGGCACCTGACAACAACAACGGCAACAACTAAACAGTTGATAGAGTGTGGTCTCATTTTTGTTAAAAAAAAACAGATGAAAGGGTTAGATAATATATTTTTTAAAAGTTTTAAAGGTATGAACTTTTAAAGAGAGGCTGAGATTACTGGGGAGTTTAATTTTCTATACTTTTATACTGTACCAATTTTTAATTATTGGGAGGTGTTATTTTAATAATCAGATGAAGAACTTGAGAAGTTAATTCCTTGCCCAGGGTCCAAAGCTGTTAAGTGGCAGAGCCAAATTCAGACTTGAGTCTGTCACTCTGTCTTAGTCATCTAGTGCTGCCGCAACAGAAATACCAGAAGTGAGTGGCTTTAACAAACAGAAATTTATTTTCTTACAGTTTAGGAGGCTAGAAGTCCGAATTCAGGGCAACAGCTCTAGGGGAAGGCTTTCTCCCTCTGTCGGCTCTAGAGGAAGGTCCTTATCACTTTTCAGTTTCTGTTCCTCAATTCCTTGGCAATCTTCATGTGGCATGTATCTTCCCTTCCGTTTTGCCTATTCCCAAATGGAATTACATCCATAAGTATACAAAAAAAAAACAACAACATTGCTCTTGATTTCGACTCATAGCAACCCTGTAGAGCAGAGTAGAACTGCCCCATAGGGTTTCCAAGGAGTGGTGGTGGATTTGAACTGCCAACTTTTTGTTTAGCAGCCAAGATCTTAACCACTGTGCCACCAGGGCTCCATCCACAAGTATAGGGGTTAAGACTTACAACACATATTTTTGGGGAACACAATTCAATCCATAACACCCTCCAAGCCTGTGCTTCTTCCTCTATAGCAGGATTTTTCTCCTGTTTCACCACTCCACTTGGCCCCTGGGGTTTGGCCCACAATTTCAGGCAATCACTAGCTTTGTCTTACTGACCAACCTGTGGAAAGGCATGCCATTGTTCTCCCAGCCTATTACTTAAAAAGTTTTTTTTTTTTTTTCCTGGGCGCATAACTGATATCCTGCAGCCAATTGTTTTTGCCAGTCTTGCAAAACATTGGGCTGAGTTAAAGTATCCTGAGGCCTATGTGGTTTCTGCAGCAAGGTCAGCTCTGCCTTCATGCCTCCTACCTTCTCATCCTGCACATTCATAGTAGAGTGGCGTTTGGGAAGAGCACTGAGTTGGACGTTGGGAGCTCTGGGCTCTGGTCTCAGCTTTGCCATTGACACCTCACTTCTCCTCACTGCCCCCCATGTACTGTGCAGTTCTGTACAACTGGAGGTAGCGTTGACCTCTAAGCTGTCTGTAAACTGTAATATTTATCAATTCACATGTAGGGAAGCCTCCAGGCAAAATTGCTTCTGGTGAAATGAAGATGTGACAGCCCTGTGGGTTACTGGGCAGTGTCTCTGTTGGATACACAGGTGTCCTGGGGATAGTGATAACAATGCAATAGTGACCGTCTATCAAGTGCTGACTGTGTGCCAGGCGCTGTGCTGAGTTCTTAGTATGCATTCTCTCATTTAACCTCACAACAATCCTTCGAAGTAGGTATTATTTTTCTCACCCAAGGTCACACAGGAAATTGGTGGCAGAGGTGGGATTCAAATCCAGGTAGAGACCTGGTTTTGAGTCCTTCTTGTAGCTGAAACTAAACAGCAAGTACAGTTGTCACCTCTCAGCACCTGATGAACAGGTACCTAGATCCTTCTCTAACACTGAGGCCTGGAACTTGGCTCCTATGTACCTATTCCAGTGTAATGGTAAAAAACAAAGAAAAGTTCCCTTTCATTCTACACTTTCCTATCTTATTTTTAAAATTATAATCTCTAGAGCCACTCCCAGCAGTTGCAGGGATGGTCCTATAAATGAGCTATATAAACTTCTGCCTCTGAGGCCTCCTTCCGCTGAACAGTGTGTTTTTGGACCTAGGTGGGTGGAGTCGCCGACTGCCGAGAGCAGCACCTTGCTTCCGTGCCCAGCGATCTCTCGCCCTATTCCCAGACACTCATCCTGGATGCCAACCCTCTCAAGACCCTGTGGAACCATTCCCTCCAGCACTACCCTCACCTGGAGAGCCTCAGTCTGCACAGTTGCCACCTGGAGTGCATCAGCCACGACGCCTTCCAGGAGCAAGCCCGCCTGCACAGCCTGGCGCTCGCTGACAACGCTCTCTCAGAGAACTACAAGGAGACGGCAGCTGCTTTCCACTCCCTTCAGGGTCTGCGGAGGCTGGACTTGTCGGGGAACTCCCTGACAGAAGACATGGTGGCCCTCATGCTCCAGAACCTCTCATCACTGGAATCTGTGTCCCTGGCGAGGAACACCATCATGAGGCTGGATGACTCCATCTTTGAGGGCCTGGGCCCCCTCCGGGAGCTGGATTTGCAGAGGAACTACATCTTTGAGATCGAGGGTGGTACTTTTGATGGCTTGACTGAGCTTAGACATCTCAACCTGGCCTATAATAACCTTCCTTGCATTGTGGACTTCGGCCTCACACAGCTACGGTTCCTCAACATCAGCTACAATGCCCTGGAGTGGTTCCTGGCATCAGGGGGAGAGGCTGCCTTTGAGCTGGAGACCCTGGACCTCTCTCACAATCAGCTGCTGTTTTTCCCGCTCTTGCCCCAGTGCAGCAAGCTGCACACCCTCCTGCTGCGGGATAACAACATGGGCTTCTACAAAGACCTGTACAACACCTCGTCACCACGGGAGATGGTGGCCCAGTTCCTCCTGGTGGATGGCAATGTGACCAACATCACCACAGTCAGCCTTTGGGAAGAGTTTGCTTCCAGCGACCTCTCAGATCTCCGCTTCCTAGATATGAGCCAGAACCAGTTCCAATACCTGCCAGATGGCTTCCTGAAGAAAATGCCTTCCCTTGCCCACCTGAACCTCAACCAGAATTGCCTGATGACACTGCACATCCGGGAGCATGAGCCCCCAGGAGGGCTCACAGAGCTGGACCTGAGCCAGAACCAGCTGTCGGAGCTGCAATGGGCTCCAGGGCTCACCGGCTGCCTACAGAGCCTCCAGGTATTCAACCTGAGCTCCAACCAGCTCCTGGGTATCCCCACTGGCCTTTTGGCTGATGCCAGTAACATCACTACAATTGACATGAGCCACAATCAGATCTCACTTTGTCCCACGCCTGTTCACTTAGACCAGGTGGGCCCCCCCAGCTGTGTAGATTTCAGGAATATGGCGTCTTTGAGGAGCCTCTCTCTACAGGGATGTGGGCTAGGGACCCTACAAGACTGTGCGTTCCAGGGGACCCCCCTCACTCACTTAGACCTATCCAGCAATTGGGGGATTCTGAATGCAAGCATCGCCCCTCTCCAGCATATTGCCCCCACGTTACGGGTCCTGTCTCTCAGGAATGTGGGCCTCAGTTCCAGCTTCATGGAGTTGGACTTCTCTGGGTTTGGGAATCTGAGGGACTTGGATCTGTCAGGAAATTCCTTGTCCAGTTTCCCCAGGTTTGGGGGCAGCCTGTCCCTACAGACCCTGGATCTCCGCAGAAACTGCCTCACAGCCCTTCCCCAGAGGGCTGCATCTGAGCAGCTCATGAGGAGCCTGCGGACCATCTACCTCAGTCAGAATCCATATGACTGCTGTGGGGTGGAGGGCTGGGGGGCCCTGCAACGCCTGCAGACGCTGCGCATCCCCGACTCAGCGATGGTCACTTGCAATCTCTCCTCCAAGGTCATCCGCGTGGTGGACATGCCCAGAGATGTGCCTCGGGACTGTAAATGGGAGCGGGTGGACATGGGCCTGCTGTACCTCGTGCTCATTCTCCCCAGCTGCCTCACCCTGCTGGTGGCCTGTACTGTCATCTTCCTCACTTTTAAGAAGCCTCTGCTTCAGGTGATCAAGAGCCGCTGCCACTGGTCCTCCATATACTGACTGTGGCTGCTTGCCGAGGTTAGAAATTTGGCGTGCACATGTAAGGACACTTCCTCTGCTAGGTTTCAAGATCCCATGCAGACGCCAAGCCTGATGAATTGAGGTTTACATTAAAATTTAAAGCGTTTCCATCTCTTAGTCCCCCATGTTCTTCCTTCATCATTATCCTTCATCATCATCAACCTGGTAAAATATTTATTAAGTAACGTTCTATGAAAATAAAAGACAATGTGTCTCAAATATTTTTTTACTCAAATACAGCTTCTGGTTTTTGGGGTTTTTTTTTTTTTTTTTTTTTTTTTGTCATGTTGTTCGATAGTTTCACTTGAATTATTTTTCAGTGCTTTGTCTGGGTGACATCCATGGAGCTGGTGAGAAAGGGCAGTGATTCTGTGCTACCCTACCCTACAAACAACTCCAAAGGCTCTTTCTGTGGATGCTGAGAGTCAGTGTCCCCTGGGATTCACCAAGGACACGAATTTTCAGGCGAGCTGGGGGTTCTGCATGAGATGAGAGCTCCCTCCTCCTCATCTCAGTTGGCTTGGAATGCCAACCAAGAGTGGGTTGTGGCAGGCCATCTCCAGGTGCCCTGGATTCATACCTGGAGTCTCTGGCAGACAGACATGACTCTTCCATGGAAACATTAAGAGAACAATAGCTGGGGCCCTGAGTTTATCCATTTGGTAAACTGAGCACCAGGCACAGTCCTTGTTCTGAGGGAACAGAAAGAGGAATGTAGAAAGGAGTGAATCCTGCTAACTTGTGGACTGTCCCTACTCTTCACAGAAAATCACAAACAATGTCTTAGCAGATGTTCAGTATCTGTTTGCACCTCATTCCTGGTTTCCTTTCTCCCTCCCTTCAAAAAACGGAACAGTTTCTATGCGCCTCTCTGGGGGAGAAGATAACTAAGACGCAGCCCCCATCCTGTAGGTAGTTTAGAGTTTACACTGTCTTGCGCTTTTTATCCTTGCTTGTTAAATCATAAAGGGACTATATGCAGTGGTGTGGAGAGAGAGGAGAAGAGAAATCTCACAAACAGATTACTATTATTATATGGACTAAATGTCAGCAGAAATGTTTAGGCAAATAAAAGATAAAACCAGTGGTCTTTGACAAAGCAGAAACTTCCCTGGGATGTTCTACAAGATTAGAAACAAGGCCCTTCAGTGTGGCTTCACATTCAAGATCAGTAGTGTTAGTCTGTGTCACATATCACCCTTATTGTGTCCCCATTCTTTCCCGTCAATGTGTCTCTCTCTATCCTGCACTGTCCCAGCCCAGCGCCTTGTTCTCTGTCCACAAGCCAATGCCCATGAGACCAGGCTTTCTTGATTTCCTCTCCCTCTGACAAAAACTCTTTCCATGGGGTCCTGCTGTTACCCAAGGTGACAATTTGTGAATTAGACAAATGAATCTATCTGTGGCTGGTGCATTTATGGCTTCTCTTGAGTTCATGTATCACCCCATGAGTCAGTCAGTGTTCTCAGTTGCTTGCTGTTAAGGATGACTCTGTCTGACTTAAGCAGCATGGAGACTTGGTAAAAGGATATTGGGAAGCTCATAGCCTCCCTGGGAAGGCTGAAGAACAGCTTGGAAATGGTCAGGACCAGGGGATGCTACACAGCATTTGGGACCACAAGCCAAATCATGCCGTAAACAACAATCGTGAGAACATGACTGCAGCCACCTCTTAATGCTGAACACCACAGTTTGGACTGCTGCCACTGACAGCTCTGGACAGGGTCCCTGCCCCTGCTGCCACCCACTATGGAAATGAATGCTCTCCCAATTCTGCTATCTTGTGTCACTAGCCCCTGAATAACAGTCTGGAGTGGGGGCACCTGGTTAGCTGACCCTGGCTACAAGGGAGTCTGAGACAGAAAATGCTGTACTTTTTGGCGAAGCAACCATACCAGAAGTTAGGCTTTGCTTCCTACCAACACTCATAAGGTGTGAAGTTCTCAAAACAAGGGAGGTCACACAGACAAAAGAATGACAGAAGTGCACCACACCATCTTAGGCACATGCACATTTTAGCAGAGGACTTCTTGAAACAAATTCTTAGCATAAAGGAATGACTTGACTGATGACAACTTCAGATAGAGCCTCAGGCCAGCAAGGGAGATAGATGGGAGTCAGGCAGGCCTGTTGAAGCTCCTCAAGTCATACTATGTAGCTGACCATCCACTCTACCCATTCTTAGGGCCCAGCCTTGCAGGATGGCTGAGAGGAAGAGGCTAGGACAGGGCCCTACCCCTGCCCATGGCAGCGACTTCAGAGGGCTGTGGCGTTTCTAAGTAGTTCATTCCATCACAAGGGTCCAAAAGCGATTTCCTACGTCTCTTTCAGTATGGTCCAGGGTGAGGAGGATGAGAAGGGCAGCTGGATTTCTGAAGGAAAGTCTGTTCTTTGCCCTAATTCGCCCACCCCTACCTACCTCCACCTGCAGGAGGGAGGGCACACTAACGTCCACTCAGAGACTGCTAGAGAGGGAAGGACTCATGCAGCCTGTTACCAGAATTCCCTGGGGGAACCAGAATAGTTGTCAGCCTAAGGTAACCCATACACTCAGATTGAGCACAAAGTGGCTCTTCCTCAGGAGGTAGGAAGTGAGGGGCAACCCCCCTGGTGCCACATGCCAGAATATTCAGACTGGAGAATATTCAGAATCAAAGGTAAATGATGTCAGAGATTCGTCTATCAACATGAGTAAAAGTAATTGAGATTTTGAAAATCTAGTCATAAGACAAAAGTTTAAGTCTTTTCCAGGGGCACCAAATAAGTTATTAGGGGTCAAATTATTTTTTTTTTAAGGATCTCCGTTGCAAAGAATTGGATAAACTATAATCCTTGGCTGGTCTGACTGGTCATTTTTGGTGACCATTGATCTGCGTGTGGTCCACTTTCGTTTATTTAGTGTAGCAGGTATCTTCCATTCACCCACCACCCCCAGATCCAATCTGCACCCTTCTCCACCTGCTTCAGGGGACTGACTTCAATGGGCTCCCTTGCCCTCTGGCTTCCATTTGTATTCGGCCAAGAAAGATCCCTAGGAGAAGAGAAAGGAGGAGGAGAGTGAGGTCGGGGTATTTACTGTCCTGATGCCTCCCTATGGATTTGTCTCAAACTGGCTACATCTGTCAACCAAAGGTCATACTTCTCTCAAGGGGGCCCTTTCTTTTTCTTCTTCTTTTTTTTAATTGTGTTTTAGGGGAAAGTGTACAGAGCAAATTAGTTTCTCATTCAAAAATTTATAAAATTAATTAATATATAAACTCTTTGGTGACACTGGTTGCAATCCCACATTATGTCAGCGCTCTCCCCCTTTCCCTTTCCATCCTGATTCCCCGATTCCATTTGTCCAGTTTTCCTATCCCTTCCTGCCTTCTTGTCTTCGTTTTTGGGCAGGTGGTGCCCATTTGGTCTTGTGTACTTGATTGAACTAAGAAGCACGTTCCTCACGTGTGTTCTTGTTTGTTTTATAGGCCTATCTAATCTTTGGCTGGAGCCCTGATGGTGCAATGTTAAAAGCTATGGCTGCTAACCGAAAAGGTCGGCAGTTAAAATCCACCAGCTGCTCCTCTGGGGCAGTTCTACTCTGTCCTATAGCATTGCTATGAGTCGGAATCGACTCAACAGCAACGGGTTTTGTTTTGTTTTAATTTTTGGCTGAAAGGTGAACTTTGGGAGTGGCTTCAATTCTGAGTTAGAAGAGTGTCCGGGGACCATAGTCTTGGAGGTTCCTCCAGTCTCTGTCAAACCAGTAAGTCTGGTCTTTTTTGTGAATTTGATCTTTTGTGCTACATTTTTCTCCTGTTCTGTCTGGGACCCTCTGTTGTAATCCCAAGCAGAGCAGTAGGTAGTGGTAGCCGGGCTCCATCTAGTTCTACTGGTCTTGGGGTTGTGTAGGCTGTGCTTCATGCAGTCTATTAGTCCTTTGGACTACTTGCTCCCTTGAGTCTTTACTTTTTTTCACTCTCCTTTGCTTTGGACTAGAAGAGATTGATGGTTGTATTCTAGATGGTTTCTCAAAAGCTTTTAAGACCTCAAACTCAAGGAGCCCCTTTCTACACAAACCTCTCTCTTGGGATTCCAGGAATCACTCACTCCATTGCTTCCTCCCCTCTGGGCCTAGGGATGGGTAACAGTTCTGTTGTTACCTGTTTTACCAGCAAGTCAGTTCCAACTCATGGTGACCCTATAACAAAGTCGAATTGCCCCATAGGGTTTCCAAGGCTGTAATCTTTACAGAAGCAGACTGCCACATCTTCTCCCATGGAGCAGCTGGTGGGTTTGAACCACTGACCTTTGGTTAGCACCACCAGGGTTCCTTCTCTGTTACCAGCCCCTGTATAGTTGCACTATCCCTTATGGTTTACCTTTATCCTGCCCACTCCTTCGTAAACAGTCCCTTTAAAAGTCCCCCTTGGGTTATCCTTGCTCGAATATGTCATCCACCTCTGCTGGGCCCCTGAGTGATGCAGTTCATTATTTATTTAGCAATACTGAGCCAGCGAAATCCTAGAACCTGTATCGGGAAGCACAGCAGGCTAAGGAGGCAGCTAAAGTGATGAAAGCAAATCCCCTGGAGATGGTTGCCACTCTGATCCATTATGGGTGAAGTTGGCCATGAAAAAGATGGCACACCTCACCATATTACAGATATATTCAGATTTCATCCAAATTAGAGAGGGAGAAGTTTCTAGCCTTGGAGGCTTTCTTTAAAAGAATGTGGATATTGTCATGGCATAGAGTCAAAGAAAATAGACAACAGGGCTAAGACAAAAGTGTCAAAAAAAAAAAAAAAAGAAAGAAGAAAGAAAAGCACTCCTTACTACACTAATCATCTTCTTCTACTTCATTCTCATCAACAATTATCAAGCACTTGTTATGTACTAAGTGCTTTATATGATAGTTCCACTTTATCTTGGGAAAACCCTAGGCTGAGAGCAGTTAAGATTTTCCCAAGGCCATACAGAATTGCGGAAAGATGTTGGCATTATGCCGAAGAAGAGAAAGCAGCTTCAGCAACTTGACCGTCTTTATCAAGTCCATCAAACTGTCAACCTATAGGAGGCAGGGCCAAAATAGCAGAGTAGTCGGATGCTTCCTGTGGTCCCTTTTACAACAAAGACCAAAAAAAAAAAAAAAAAAAAAGAGAACAAGTGAATCAATCTCATATGACAATCTAGGAGCCTGAACATCAAAGGCAAAGTTGAGGAATCGGACTGAGAGGCAGGAGGAGGGAGAGACGGTTCA